GGGGGAGCAGGGCCGGGGGCTGCCCTGGGGGCTGCTGGACTCGCCGCTGGCTGGGGAGAGCTGGGCTTTGTCCGGGGGGTTCTGCAGCCTCTTCCTCGGCTGGGGGAGAGATGAGGCAGAAGGTGAGATGAGGAACCTCTGTCCCCTGCCCAGGATGTCCCCCAGGGCCACTCACCGAGTCACATCCATGCCTGGGGGACTCATCATCGGGGTCCTCAGCCTCTGTCTCGCTGTAGCAGTCTGGGGAGAGCAGTGGGAGTGGGAAGATTCCCCCCTCAGGGTTGAGCATCATCCCAAGCCCCTCTCAGGGGGAGGTTTTTCACGTTCCCACAAATCACAGGCAAAGCTCCCAGCACTCCCACACAGAGGATGTGGCACCAGGCACAGCTGCCCCACCAGGACCTCCAGGTCCCCCCAGGGTCCCCATGTCCCACTGACCCCACCCCCAGGTCCCCTCAGGGTCCCCATCTCCCACTGACCCCACCTCCCACCCCAGAGAAGGGCTCATTACCTTCCTCCTTGTCTGGGACTGACTGGTGGGCGAGTGTGTACTTTGTTTTGGCTGTTATGAGCCGACTGACCCACCTGGGGAGGGAAAGGACATACAGACAGGCAGAGGAGGGTCCTGGCCAGCCCAGGAGTGGCAGGACTGGCACTGACCAGCACTGGAGGGTGTGTTACTCACATGCTCAGGTCAGCCAAGGTTTCGGCAGCAAAGACAAAGGGCTTGTACTTCTGGTGGCACAGCTGGAACACACTGAGGACAAGCAGGTGGCTGCTGTGGTGACACAGAACCAGCCACAAGCCCCCTCCAGCCTCCCCATTCCAATCCAGCCCAGGGGTCTGGGCTTCTCCCTGCCCTGGGAGATGTCCTCGGCCTCATCCCAGGTAATACCAGGAGCACAGTGCACATCTTGCTCAGTGCAGAGAGAATACTGCAAACCCTTTGGGGACTCCACCAGCCCCTTGGAGGCCCCACCAGCCCTACAGGGACCCCAGCAGGCCCATGGGGACCCCACCAACCCTGTGGGGACCCCACCACCACATGAAGGCCCCACCAGCCCTGTGGGGACCCCACAGCCCTGCAAGGACCCCACCAGCCCTACTGGGACCCCACGAGGCCCATGGGGACACCAGCCGATCCATGGGGACCTCTGAAGCTCTGAGAGGATCCCACAAGCCCCATGGGGACATGCAGGTGGTACCCAGCAGGATTCATCCCCCCCCTTCCACCACCAGCTGGGAGGTGAGACAGACCCCACTCACTATTTCTTCTTCTGCTCCCTCGTGCTCTCCAGGTCATAGGTGGCCACGTTGATGAGTCCTGCAGCCTTCTCATCCTGTGAGGAATGGGGACAGCGTGTCCAACACCACCACCTTGGGAAATCCCAGCTGCCCAGGTGTGAGGGGGGGTAGGAGGGCACCCGGTGGCCCCCACTCACGTTGGGGTGGTTGTACCAGTAGAGCGTGTGGCCCTTCAGCACGAACCAGCACCGCTTCCACTTCTGGGCCATGAAGGCCACGTGGTCCTTCTTCTTGAGGAGCCACCCATCGCAGTCCACCCGGCCCAGGTCCCGGCACGAGACCCGCCGGCGGCTCAGCCTGGTCGCCACTCCTGCCACCACGGCACCGGGGGGGTGTCAAGGCAGGGCAGGGGGAGCAGAGCCCCCCTCCCCGGGGGAGCCCCCAGCCCCCTTCACCCCAGCCTGGCAGGGTCCTGCTCACCTTTTGGTCTGCGTCCTGTCTGGGGGCTGCCCTGGGTGGGGAGATGGACATGAGCATTTAGGGATGACATGAGGGGGGGTGAGGGCAGGGCAGTGTTAGCTGAGCCCCCCCAGCAGCACACACAGCCCTCAGGGACCCCCTTAGGGACCCCCAGCTTGCACACACACAGCAGCGAGCCCAGAGGGGAGCTCAGAGGGGAACCCATCCTGGCACAGGCGTTTTGACTCCCACCACAGGCAGGACACAAAGTCCCGTGTCACCCCCCCACTCTGACACCCTCCCAGTGTCCCCCCCAGCTCTCACCTCCCCAGGGAGCTGGCAGGGCTCTGCACCCCCAGCCCCCGTGGTGGGGGCTGCCGTGGGGCTCAGCTCTGTGCTGCGGGGTCTGGTGGCAGCAGAGATGCCCGGAGAGTTTGGGATGCCCGGTGGGGTGCCCGGTGGGGTGCCCAGGGGGGTGTCCAAGGGGGTGTCCAAGGGGGTGCCACTCTCCCACTCCTCCTCTGCAGTGCCTGCGAACAGCGAGCCGGGCTGCAGCCTCCTGTCCTGGGGGGAGATCTCTCCGTCCCCGCCTCTTCTCCCGTCCTACCCCGTCCTGACAGTCCCGGCAGCTCCTCCACGGCCGCCCTGGGCAGCCTCAGGTCCTGCTCGTCCTCTTCCTCCTCTTCGTCAGTGACGGGATCCGGCGCTGAGTCCGGCCCGGAGTCCAAGTCGGCACCAACGCTGGGGGAAAACGGGATTCCTGAGCCACAAACCTCTTTGACGTCTGCAGGGATCCCACTGTCGGCCTCTGGGTGGGGCACCCGCGGTTCAGGAGTGGGGCTGGAGGGGACGCGGTGGTGGGGGCTCAGCACCAGCTCCGCCAGACCTCCGTGGTCCCCGGCAGGGTGGGAGCCCGGCCGGTGGCTCCTGCCCGCGCTGCCGTTGGCTCCCCGCACGCCTTTCCATTCCGGGAGAGGAGAAGGGTCATGTCTAAATATAGTTTCAACCCCACTAAAACGTTACCAAGTGAATGAATTACAAACACAACCCACTTTTTTTTCCGTTCCTTAAGGCTACTGGGCAGCTCCCCGGGCCGCTCGCAGGCAGCTGCTGCGCCGCTGGGACTTCTCCGCCCCCAAAAAAGAGCTGGGAAGGGGCCTTGGGGGCATCCAAACAGCTCCTCTCTGGCCGGATTGGGGGTGTTGGGGTGTCGGGATGGGGCTCACCTGGAGGTCAGGGACACGGGGCTGCCTGGGCACTCGCCACTCCTGGTGCCGGGGGAATCCGCAGCATCCGAAAATGCTCCCGGGAGCTGTGGATGGAGTGTCAGGGACAGCCCCACCCCACCACGGACCCCAGAGCTTTAGGGATCACCAGTGTGATGGGAGATGCCTGGCTCTGAGTGTCTCTGCCTGGTTCCCAGCACGTCCCAGTAAGGCACTTGGGATGAACTGGGAGCACTGGGATCACTCACTTGCTGCCTGGGAGAGGGGGGTGAGCCATGCAGGTCAAGGGGGATCTTCTTCAGCACCAGTGTCACCTCGTTTGCCTTCTCCAGCAGCTTCTTCTCCAGGTTGATGCGTGTCCAACCCACCTGCACAGCCCCATGATGAGCTGTGGCACATGGCCCTGGCCCCATGGCTGCTGCATCCCCCAAACCCTCCCCAGACACAGATCCCACATCCCCCAATCCCCCAGCGGTGGCTCCTGGGTCCCTCAGACCATTCCCAGCCATGGGTCCTGCTTTTTGCAGATCTCAACTCCTATATCCCCCAAGCCCTCCCAGCTACACTCCCCCTAAAGTCCTCCCAGTCACAGGTCCCATGTCCCCCTAAAATCCTCCCGGCTGCATGTCCTGTGTGCACCCAAAATCCTCCCAGCTGCACTCCCCATATTCCCCCAGCCCTCCCGGCCTTGCAGCTCCCTGTCCATGACTTCCCTGCCAAAAACCAGCCCCGTCCCCTCCGACTCACCACGACCTGCTCATTGACCTGCACGATCTCGTCCCCGGGCAGGATGTGCCCCCCGTGGGCAGCCAGGGCCTGGGCAGAGGCAGGGTGGGAGTGGGGTGCCCAGTCCTGGGTTCCCACCCCCTCTCCCCAAGCTAATCCACACTCAGGATCTCTCCCGGATGGGGAGAACCGGGGAGGGATTAACCATTAACCCGACCTTTCATGGAGCGGCCGGAGCTGCCCAGGTGGGATCGGGGTGCAGAGGGGGCTCCCCCCGTGCCCAGGCTGTGCTCACTCATGAGATGAGTTGCACAGTCTCAGCTGCAGGCAGCCCCCCCAGCTCTGGGTTGGGATGTGGATTAGGGCCCTAAGAGGACCCCATGGACTGGGGGAATTCCCCGTGGCAGGTGCTAAAAGGGACAGGGTGGCACTTGCGGGGGTGACAGACAGGGAGGGGCAGCCCCTCACTCACCTCCGAGGTGGTGGCAGACACGAAGTGCAGGCAGGAGCTGGTGGAGGTGATCTCAAAGCCCTGAGTGGGACAGGAAGGGCGTTTGAGCAGGGATCTGGGGGGGTCCAGAGGCAGGGGGGGGCACTGGGGTGGTGGGGACTCACCAGCGGGGTGGTGATGAGTGTCAGGGGGTCAGAGGGTGGCACTGAAGTGTCAGGGGACACTGGGGGGCTCCCCCATGGGCTGAGGGGCAGCGTTGGCGAGTCAGGGGATGTTGGTGGGCTCTGCCACAGGCCTGCAGGCAGCGATGGGGTGCTGGGGGACCTCAAGGGGCTGCCCCTTGGGCCAGGGGGCAGCGCCAGCCCCACCTGCTGCAGCACAGCCCTGCGGTCCAGCAGCGCCGGGGGGCTGCAGCCCACGATGCTCTCGCAGATGCCCACGATGTGCTGGCACTGTGGGTGACAGCAGGGGGCTCAGATGGGCCCTGGCAGACCCCCCTATGCCTGCCACCCCCTCCTCACCCACAGCACTTACGATCAGCAGGATCTGCCTGTCCCTCTCAGCTGCAGGACAATCCTGGGGGAACAAGATGTGGGGATGAGTGGGAAGGGATGGCTCCATCCCAGCTGGGGGGACCCCGTGGGGAACCTGCCTTGCACCACATCCCCTCTCACCCCACCTCCAGCCCGGCAGAGCTCTGGGGGGACAGGAGAGCTGCCAGCTGGCTCCCCAACCCCGACACTGTGCCCATCACCCACCGCCTGCAGTGTCTCTCCCAGCTGGGCACACAGCAGGACGATGTCCTGGCTGGCCGAGAAGTCGTTGAGGGTGGAGAAGAGGTACCTGGAGGGGGACACAGAGCTCAGCCCCTGGTGTGGGGGTCACCCAGCACCCAGGGGGGCCCTCACCTGCCCCGGACCTGTTGAGCCAGGAGAAGAGTCCCTTGGCAGCCCCGACCAGGTCGATGACTCGGGCCAGGAGGGTGAGGGAGGGTGGCTGGGGGGCATCCCCTGCTGACAGCCCCCCCAGCACCAGGCTCTGGATGCCCTGTGCCAGCTCCTGCAGCCTCTCTGTCAGGGTCCGCAGGCTGGTGCTCGCCAGCCCTGTGTCCTGGGGGCACAGGGATGCCAGGGGATGGGGGGGGGCAGTGGGGATCTCACATTCCCACCTTCACCCAGCCCTGATTCCCAGCTCCAACCAGCACAGAGTGCCCCCACATCCCTCCACCACTGAGTTCAAGGTGCCCCAGTGTCCCCATTTTCACGCAGCCCAGAGTGACCCCACATTCTCCCTCTTCATTCCACAGTGCCCCCATGTCCTCCCCTCTACCCAGCCCAGGGTCCCCCCACATCTCCTCTCCAACGAGTCCAGGGTGTCCCCACCTTCACCCAGTGCAAGGTGACCCCATGGCCTCCCTTCCACCCAGCCCAGGGTGCCCCCAAATCCCCCCTTCCTCCCTGGTTTCCCCACAGCCCCTGGGGGTCCCTGCACTCACCAGCTCACGGAGCTGCTCCACAGCCTCCAGCAGCAGCTCCTGGTGCCCCAGGGGCCACACACCCAGTGCCTCCAGTGCCTCCACATCCAGCCCCAGCAGGTCAGGCCCTGCCAGCTCCCAGGCCTCGAAGGGGTACCCCTGCACCGCTGCATCCAGCCCTGCCACAGACCAGCACCCCCCCCGGCTGGGTGACCCCAGGGCGTGACACCTGGCTGATGGCACGGCCCTCTTCATGCAGTGAGTTCACCCAGTCCCAGCCTAAACGGTGGGCACGGCCAGACCCCCACCCCATCCACAGCAAGATCCAGGGAAAATGCCCCCTCTCAAGGAGATGAGGGATGAGAAGCACTGCCACCCCCCCCAGCCACACCAACCCACCCACATGTCACCAATCTGGGGACACCCCACCCCAGAGCCAGCAGTGGGGTGTCCCCTGGGTTGGGAGGGGCAGGCGTGGGGGGTGGGTCTCACCTCGGAGCCAGGCGGTCACCTCCGCGGGGCCCCAGGAGCCCACGGGCTCCATGGCG